GGCGCTGGGTTCAATACTCACCACCACATACAAATAAAGATGTTGTGTCCTCAGAAAACTAAAAAAATTTTAAAAAAGAAGCATTGCTTTAGGGCTGGGGTTGCTGCTCAGTGATAGAATGCTTAACTAGCATGTATGAGGCACTGGGTTTGGTTCCCAGCACTGCATGTAAGTAAATAAATAAAAATAAAAGGTCCATGAACAGCTAAAATATAATTAAAGAAAAAAAAAAAACATTGCACAGTGGTGCATGCTGGTAATCTCCGTAACTTGGGACACTGAGTTGGGAGGATCGAAAGCTCGAGACCAACCTCAGCAACTTGGCAAGGCCCTTAGTTGAGATCCTGTCTCAAAAAAATATAAAAAGTGCTGGGGATGTGGCTTAATGGTTAAGCACCTCTAAGGGAGGGAGGGAGGGAAGGAAGGAAGGAAGGAAGGAAGGAAGGAAGGAAGGAAGGAAGGAAGGAAGGAAGGAAGGAAGGGAGGGAGGGAGGGAGGGAGGGAAGGAGGGAGGGAGGGAGGAAGTTTTAAAAAACAATAAAATCCTCTCTCCAGTTCTACATTAGGTTCCATAGGAGATGGAAAAGAACATGAGGTATTCTCGTACTGTAGTCCATCAAAAAATGAAAGCTTGCCATCTGATATGAATGCAGTGTAAAAGCAACTACCAGTATGTGCTGAGCTGTGAGAGGTCATGAAAAGATGTACTTGAGACTTTCTGCAGTCTGGTATATGGTTTAGAGAGTTTGCCATTAAAATAAAATACTGCCCTTCCCACAAAATGAGGTCAAGTGTTAGCTTAGCAAACGTCTAGTACCAGGCAGCAGTCTTGGCCAGCATAAGCAATCTGAAGGCTTCATTCCCATCACAGATCACTATGCTGGGCACTGGGAATATATCTGTGAACAAGGCTCAGACCATCTCAGATAACTGACAGTCTGTTCACAATTCAGTAAACAAGCAATTACTAAATGGTGAGAGTTAATGAAAAGAAACAAAGTAATTTGGGTGAGATAGGAAGCAACCAGTTGTTAGAAAGTTTTAAGGATCAAACTGAAGTATTTCAGTATAATACAATAGCCAGTTATTCCCATTGAAAGAAATGCTATAAAAGAAACTTATAAGAAATATTATTTTAGAGCTTTTGGAAGAATTTGGGAAGGGAGCAATAATACAGATGTAGAACAATTAGGATACCTGCAATAAAGATCATAAACATTAAAGTTTCTTTCAAAAGGGAAAAAAAGTTCCTAAATTATGATGACTTGGAAATGAGATGGAGTGGTATATTCCCTATGAACAGAGAGCTGTTACATTATATCAGCATAAATAAATGCATATCAATCAAGTGAATTGTTAATACTGGAATTCTATATTGGGATGTTTACTGTACGTCTGAGAATCAGGTCCCCTTTTTCATTCCCCATTGATATTAATTATAATCATATCTTAATCTATTTCAAAGTTGAGTGAGGAGTGAAAAATTATTTACTTTTGTTTATAATTTTTCAGTTCCATATCAAAAAAAGAGAAAAAGAAAAACTTACAACCTCTAAGTAAGTAGTAAGTCTCCTTGTTTCTGAAACACACTATGGTCAATGTTTTTGAGACTCTGAACCTGTGTTAAAATATTTATTAATCAGAACTAAATTTTTGTCTTTGCCTTCAGAAAGTGAGCAAGTTCTAAAATATTTATGTGTAAATAATTAGTGTGTAATTAATTCCAAAGAATTCACTGCCTTTATTAGATCAATTCTATGACCACCACAGAGTGGATAGTACTGTTATTAGGACATACAAGATTGTAAACTACCAGACCCTTGTACTCGAATTAAGTCTGTGTTCTCAGGCTTCATGCAAATCCTCAAAGGAGACCATGAAGTGTGGGCATGCTTTCAATTCCTTCAGTCTATTATTTATGGAGGCATGTAGGTCAGGAGTTTCTATGCTGAAAATCATAATAACTGTTTTGTTTGCCTTTTTTAGATGAAGTGACCAAAGCATGTTGAAAGATAAATGGGTGAAGCATTTTGACTATGCTTTTATTCCTATTAAATATTATTGCTGAGTAACCATCCATGCTAAGTATTATGATATTAATCTGAAGTAGTTTGTAAACTGATAGCTCCTTCTTTCCTTTGGGATTAGGTTTGTTATTAATCAAAATGTTGGATTTGTTTAGTACAGTGGTGTATGAAACAAACAGTTGAAACAGACAGACAACTCCTTTAATTTATGACTTTCTGTTGTTTCAAGTTTATAAGAAAATCTGTTTCTTCTTGTAGACTTTAGCTGTTGTTCACGTATCTTAATTTCATTTCTCATACCAGAGCCAGCTAAATCCAATAGCTGCAGATACTCTTATGGCATAGAAAGGAGGAAGGTGCCTTTGTATGTTTTCAATTGACTTAGTCTGGTAAAGTCATTTTTGAAGCATGGAAGTTTCTGCTAGAAATGAGTATTTCAGAAAAATCTATATGTTGGTGCAGAGAATGGGATCATTTTTAAAACAGAAGGATCTATATGTGGAAAGGTATTAATGAGTTCACTCGGATAATAGGGTTTTTTAATACCAGTATTGAATAAAACTCTTTTAAACACCGTGTGATTCCAGCAACTTCCTGATGTTGGCCTAGATACCAACAGCACCTCTAAGAACTTGGAAAGCTACAAAGAACTTACTGAAATGCAACAGGAGTTTGGGCTCCCCTGATGTCTGGTAAAGGACCTTCACAGGACAGTCTTGGCACTCTTCTAAACTTGTTTCCCTTTGGTAGTAATACACTTCATACTTTGTAGGGAATGCAGTATAGATTGTAAGAAGTGTTGTAGAAAAACCCATCCCTGTTATCTGAAACAAAATGCTAAATATATTTCTTAACTATGAAGAGTTATGCATTCTTTTTTTTTTTTCCCCACTCAGTACTGGGAATCTAACCCAGGGCTTAACACATGCTAGACAAGTACTCTACTATTGAGCTATGTCCCCAATCCTTTTTTTTCCCCCTCTTTTTCTTTTTCAGACAGGGTCTCACTAAGTTGCCCAGGTTGGCCTTGAACTTGCAGTTCTCCTGCCTCAGCCTCCCAAGATTTTAGGCACATTCTTTCCATGCAAAGTAGTTGCAATTTTTTTATAGTGCTTTTAAAGTCAGGACTTGTTTCCGAGTTGACATAAGCTCAGAAGCACCTATTTGAAAGTGACTGTTACTGATTGGCTAGCCTTCAGAAGCACTTCACAGGAGTGAGTCTGCCACTGATCGGCACAAGACTGGCTGATTAGTTGGCTTTTAGAGGTGTATTTACTGAAATGAGTTGTCACTGATCATTTAGACCTAGATGAGTCATTATTAATTGGTTGAGTTCAGTTTAACTGTTTCCGATTGGTTGTAATGGTTATTCATTACCATAGCAATGGAAGAATCCACCTTTTTCTAGGAATTGGAGATTGTTTTACTTTCAGAAGCTAATACTGAAACACTGTAGGAAATTGAAAGTACTAGAAAATCAGACACTGGGGAATTCATCTAAGTGTACAATGGTGTTAAGATGCATTTTCTAAGTAAGGGTATTTACTAAAGCAACAGAAGTTTAAAAAATCAGCGTTCATGTGTGACATACATGTTCGTGTATTGAGAACAGTTATGAAATTTGATGCAAATAATATTAATATAAAATATTAAAATGTAAATGTGATTTACCTCATTTTGTAAAGTAGATTCTAGGTCATCCACATACCACTCATACTCACTGCATTCTGATAAGCCTCTTCAAGTGGAATAGAAGGTGTGGGAATAGCACAGAAGCTTCAACTTGTCAGCCCTTCAGCAGCTACTGAACCCTTAGAAATGGTAGCATCACTAATATTGTAGCACTTCATTTCCCTCCCAATATCTCTGTTAGGCTTCTTCAAAATCTGACTATATCTATAGGAGTTTGACACACTGTGCGGGGCAGGGGAATAGGGGATCTCTGCTAGCATCTACTGCCCAAATCTCTGCTTGTAAAATAAAAGAAATTAATATCATATTTGGGTTTCATCTGAGAATTACAATGGTATATACAGAATATTAACCCTATAGGCAGCTTAGTTCTATCTGCTGGGATGAAGAGACATGCATGTGGGATGGTTTTGTTTAACTAGAAGGAAAAAAACTTAACAGTTTTTTTTTTGCTTATATAGAGACTGAACTTTTCTTTTCCCAAATTCATTCAACTGCCTAGAAATCTATTCTTTTGACTTCCCTGTTTATTCCTGACACCTTCTACTGGGGGCATATCTAGTAACTTACACAGTTCCCTGCTACTAAGGATAGCCAGCTTATGACCACTTAGGATTCAAGTACATGTTGATACCTTAAGACCAGTAAGCATTTGTTAAAGTAGGAAAACAGGATGGTTAGATTTGTTGTAATCAATGGTAAAAGGAGAAAATAAGTCCGGGTAATTACGCCATAAGTTTGATTTTCTTTTTATGAAAAAAAAAATATTAACCTAGCTACTCCCCAGAAAAGACAGTCATAACATTTGAATATCACTTATATTTTCATAATGTGTCCCCTATTATTGACCCATTGAACTACTGAAAACAAAACAAAATCAGATAGAACTGATTTATTATCTAGCATTTTGCTCTGCAACCTGGCTCACTCTAGTTTAGTGAGTGTGCGTTTCAAAGGAAGCAGAGTTCTTTGAGCATGGTTTGAAGAATACTTTGGGTTAAAACTCTTTTTAACCTCTTGCTAGGGGAGGAACTTCAAGTAAAGACCATGACAGAGACACTCACTACTAGAAATACAAGCCAGTGGAACAAACTCTGAGCATGTTTTTCAAATTTAAGTGTTTTCTGAGAAGTTGCTTTCCATGCAGTATAAGCACCAGTAAACAATAACTCTGTCTTGGTATTCCATACCCTTATAGCTCATTGTGCTGGTGATATTGGAGTGTAGAATTTCTACTTTCAATTCTCATACCAAAATCACTGAACCCTCTCTTTCCTTTAGGATGTCACATGTACTTCAGTTTGAGGATAAAAGCAGAAAAGTAAAAGATGCAAGCATGCAAGACTCAGACACATTTGAAATCTATGATCCTCGGAATCCAGTGAATAAAAGAAGAAGGGAAGAAAGCAAAAAGCTGATGAGAGAGAAAAAAGAAAGAAGATAAAATGAGAGTAATGATAACCAGAACATGCTGGAAAGGTGCCTGCAATAAATGGCCTTGTAGTGGCCATTGTTCCCAACAGCATCAATTAGGGGTGTGAAAGTATTTTTAAACCTATTGTCTGGTTTTAGAAAAGGATTATCTTGTTTGGTAAATTGTGGAATGATGTAAGCAAATGTTTTTGGTTACTGGTACATGCTTTTTTCCTAATTGACCTTTTATATTGTTAAATCTGAAATAAAATCTGTTTCCTTCCAGTTTACACCTTAAGCATTTGCAGACTATACAAACTTGTTTAGACCCTTTTTCCCTGAAATATGTGAAGGCTATCTCTTTAAGATTTTTTTTAATAAGAATTTCTTGCAGAAAAAATATTTGAGGGAAACCTCCCTGGCCCTAACATTGGAATATAACTTAAAAAAACTATAAAATATAATAAAAATAATATAAATATCAGTGGAATGTTTTGCATACAAATATCTAAAAATAGCCAAACCTGTAAGTCTCAGTAGCTTCATATGTTAAATCTTGAGGAACCCTCAAATGAATGTTCACACCTCCATCTAGGCCAACACCCAGGTTTTATGGATGCAGTCAAGACTAACACTCTACCTACTGTCAGCCAAGTTCACCAAACACCCCAGGCTGACACCAGGCTACCTGCTCACTCCTCTGTTCTTCTCAGCAAACAATAGCAGAGGTACATGCACAAGTCTCATTCTGGCAGTAGAACTTGTTGAGAATTTTACCTTTGATGACAGTCATTCATTTTGGGTATTTATATTATCTATATTTAATCAGTTCTAGAATTTGAATGCCACAATTGTAGCACAGGGTAATTTCATTCACCTAATAAAACCTTACCAGCCTCAGCTTTTCAGATAGTGTCTTATCAGATCTTTCAACAAACAGTCTTTTTAAAAATCTTTTTTAAAAATGCAATCCAATAGGCTTTCTGTAAGCACAGTTTTTCAAAATGTTGTTCCAGTTGAAACACTATAGCAGCAGCAGCCCTGGCAGACATGTTAAAAATACAAACATTTGCCTTACTACCCACCACCACCCTCCCTCACTGCTGGTTTTTTAGCTGCTTTGGAGATTAGCAGTGTATGGTGAAGTTAAAGATATGTATGTTCGGTGCTCAAAATATGATGATCAAAGACCTGTACCCTAAAGAAATTTTCAAACATTGCTCAAGGAAATTAGAAGATACTAAGCTGTCCTTTGAAGCATCATCCAGATGATGGATAATTGTATACCACATTATGGAATAATTTATAGAAGTAAAAGTCAATAATCAGAAACTATGAATATTAGCATATCTTTAAAATATGTGAAAAAAACAGCTATGTAAAAATTTGAAACCTAACATCATTATATATTTTTTATGCATGTATAATATGTAGCAAAAGTATGAAAACAGTGGGTTTTGCTAAGGAAAATGAGAAATACAAAGTGCTTCACTAGTGTGTGGTTTTATTTCTTAAGCTAGATGATTGGTACTTGGTTCTCATTCTATACACATTTTGAAATGCCTGAAATATTTCATCATTTTTATATTTATTTTTTAGTTTTCGGCGGACACAACATCTTTGTATGTGGTGCTGAGGATTGAACCCGGGCTGCACGCATGCCAGGCGAGCGCACTTCCGCTTGAGCCACATCCCCAGCCCTCATCATTTTTTTCTTGATAATTATATCTATAACCTGAGGTGAGAAGACAGGAGGACTCCCAGTATTGATAACTTTTCTTTTTTGCTTCAGGAAGGAGAAAGTTTCAAAGAAAAGGTGAGGGAGATGATTGGGGTGCTCTGGTTTGATGGCAGTTAATTCAAATGTAGGTGACCATACTCAATGCCACCCAAAAATAAGCACCTTTAGGAGTGCACCCTATCTTCCCCTCACCACAAAGGTTGTATTATCAATTTCATTTCAGATATTCAGAATTTTAGTTTCCGAATTCACAGTCTTTGAAGTTATTATAAACTGTGTTACCACTGAGCCTGTATTAAAATACGCTGTACATTTTTCAATCATTCCTTCTCAAATACAACCATCTTTACCAATGCAGTATTATCCCAAGAATGAGAGATCCACACACCTAAGGCATAAGTCAGAGATCAATATTTGTAGTTTTAAAAAATAATAGACAAAATTGAAACCTCAGTTTGGTAAAATGTTCCTTATCTTACTTAAACCTACTCTGAAGTTCTAGAGATTAGACTTTTAACAGAATAATTTCATCATGATAACAAAAGTCACTAGGAATTTAACAATGTTAGCAATAGTGGTTTTTTTTTTTTTTTTTTTTGGAAGAACAGAAATTATCTGTTAAATGTTGTATTTTATCTGCCCACAGTAAAGTCTTTGGAAATATCACAGTAATATGGTTGGGCCAAATGAATTAATTGCAAATAAAAAAAAGCAGAAATCCAAAACTATAAAAAATACAAAAACATATTTAAAAATTAGCCTTTAAATTTTACTGTAATTATATATTTCGGTCTATTTTTTCTTTTTATATCCTGCTCTGAGAACGTTATCTTGAGACTCATTGTCTGACAATGCTGAATATTCTGGAGAGCAAAAAGAAAAGCAACTTTGGGCTATTTTTGTTCTCATTCTATGACAAGACATTTCTTTCACTTTAGTTAAAACTTTTGGCAAGGTGAAAGTTAAAACCTTTGATTTTTCCTTTCTCAATAAGTAACTGAAGTAAATACAGATCTCTCTAGAATTTTTAATAGTGTAATATCCACATGCACATCATCACATGCCCTCAGCTCTCTGTATCCTCTGAGGCCACACAGTCAGTAATGTATCTAAAAATGGGGACACCATAGAACAAGGTCATTAAAAAGTGTGAGGAGATGAGTGGTTTGCTGCTGTTGTTTTTAGAACAAGTTTAATAAGCTATGGTGGCTGTCTTTATCAAACTGTCACTACCAAGTTTCTTGATAAGATCTGAGGTGTGAGGTACATAAACCTTTTGTGCTGTGTCAGTGTGGCCTGTATGGAAAAGGTTAGATAAATGCAGAATATTGCCTAAATACATTGTTTAATCTTGGTGATAACAAGAAAGAAAACGGAGGTGTGAAGTGAGTTACCATTGAGGGTTGTTATCAGTATAAGCAATTTGTATGTATGGGGTGTAGAGAAGTTAAGAGGGGTTACATTCTTCAACACTGTCATTCACAAAACAAGAGCAGATCTGCTTTCTCTATGGCTGTGACTCTCTTCCAGTAACTGAACAGTTTATCAGGAGGCACCGTTTCTGCTTACTAGAAAGCAGGAAGTTTTTCTGTCCCAAGTGTATTTTATCTCCTTTCTTCATTTAGCTTTTAATGAAGAGAAGTAAGACAGGAACCACATTGTGGAGAAATTCTTTCCAAGAGGAACTTTAAATTTGAATTCCAAGAGAGGCAGTAAAACACCAGATCTTACTAGGATGGGTGTTAAAAGTCCTGTTTGTAGAAATAGTCCCAAACCACCCCCTCTCACCAAAGGTATAGGTGACCAACTATCTCTGTCACAGGTGCCAAAAATGTCACTGATCCCTTTGGAAAGGTGTGGTAAACCAGCTCAAGGAAGGCAGGGAGGGAAGACCCTGATTTGCCTGAACTACAGCATTTGCCAGTTTTCATGGTATTGAGTACCCTCACCATTACGGATCTCAAGTGACCAAAGGTGGCTCCAGTATACAGCTTGTTCTTTTCCCTCATTAGGTTTCACTTCTGGCTAAAAGCTTTGCTTTGGTCATCACTGTGACCAAAACACCGTACAAGAACAACTCAAAGGAGGGAAAGTTATTTTGGTTCATGGTTCCAGAGGTTCAATCCATGCTCAGCTGAGTCCACTGCTCTGGGCCCAAGGTGAGGTAGCAAGTCATGGTGAAAGAACATGCTGCTCCATTTATAGCAGCCAAGAAAAAGAGAGAGAAGCAGAAAAGGGTCACAAGAAAGAGGAATCCTTCCAGGGTACGTACCCAAAACCCTACCTTCTCTAGCCATGCTGCACCTGCCTGCAGTTACTACCAGTTAGTCCATTCAAACAAGGATGGACTGATTATGTTACAGCCCTCACAATCCAATCATTCCATCTCCAAAGATTCCTACATTAACACAGGAGCTTTGGGGAATACCTCATATCCAAACCATAACAAGCTTGGCATAACTGTTGGCATCAGCACTAAAGAGCTCATAACAAGGGTTTTGTTTTGTTTTGTTTTGCTACTAAGGATTGATCCCAGGAGTGCTTAACTACTGAGCCACATCCCCGGCCCTTTTTTAAATATTTTATTTAGAGACAGGGTCTCACTGAGTTGCTAAGTGCCTCGCTAAGTTGCTGAGGCTGGCTTTGAACTTGTGATCCTCCTGCCTCAGCCTCCCAAGTCACTGGGATTRCAGGCGTGTGCAACCATACCTGGTTCATACAAAGGTTTTAACCCTTTACCAGTATTACTATCCTTATGCATATTTCCACTTTATGTGATTATTTAATAATTTGGTCAAGTTTTGAGCTCTAGCAATATCTACACTCTATGTTTTTATGACAAGTTTGTAACTAATTTTCCAAAACTACTTGCCTTACATGTATTTTTATCCTGCTTGTCTCCCCACCCCACCAAGTTATTCGTATATCCAATTCAAAAAAACTTCCAAATCTTAGAAAAGAGGGAGCAAGGTTGTAATGATACTTCTTTGAATTAATCTATGTAAGCAATAATGTAAAAACTCATCGTTTAACTTTAAAAAGTGATATTTTGGGCTAAGGGGTGGGAAATCCTACCTGGAAAGAATAGCTTCTAAATGAAATGCAGACAGGAGTCTGGTCTCTCTCTTCCACATCTGCTGAGAATTATTCCCTTAAGATTAGATCATGGTATTAATTCATGTTACTTGGTCAGCAAAAACATCTTCTGGAGGCTTTCTACAGCAACAGTGAAAAAGAAGGTGTTCTTGGTCTTTTAGGAAATGATTATTTTCTTGTCTTCATGATGCCAAAAGTGATGGTCATTGCTAAAGTTCTGGCACTTTTTTAAAAATTAGGATAATTTTGAAAGTAGGAAACTCTTAAGTGACTTTACCATTTATTTTCTGACTTTAATCTAGTTGGAGATTTATTATGATATTCAAATATTTTACCAACAATATGTTTGAAATGGAGGGTATCACATTTAGAAAATAAATGAATCCCTTAAAATATATGCTATATGGTTAGTTCTCAACACTATTATAAAGTAATCTTGCAATTTCTGGGTTTTCAGTTTTTCATGTGGTATGTACAAATTGTTCTTTAATTTGCAATCTTTGGGGAAATATTTAGGATAAGAAGAATGTGATCATTTTATCTCCATTCTAAAGCCTTGTAATAATAATAACTGATATAAATAAGCTTGTTAAGAATAGATACTATCTCCCAACCAAAGAATTCAACAATTGATTTTTTAATTAATTTATAAAAGAGATATATATGACTTCATGTGAGGTCTAGGTCCATTTCAGAGTGAAATCCCATGTCTATCAAACCTGATAGGTTCAAAACTGAACTTCCTGGCCCAACCGCTGCCAAACTGCTTCACATGGCAGTTTTCCCATCTTTTATTGGCAATGCTATCTTTCCAATTGCTCAGGCCAATAGCTTGGATTCCTGTCCTTACCTCACACACCAATCTCTTATGACACTCTGTTGGGTCTACCTTCAAAAAAGATACAGAACTTCACCATTATTTACCCCTCTGCATTGCTCCCACCCTAGCCCAAGCTTTTATTTGGGTAATGAGAATAGCGTCATAATTGTCTCCACATTCTCACCCATGTTTCCCTGTAAATTGTTATCAACAGAAGAGTCAATGAAACCTTTTAAAATATAAGTCATATTGTTATACTTGTCTTATTAAATTACAAGTCCTTCCAGTGGCTACAAGGCTCTCTGTGTAATTGCCACCCCTTCCCCGCAATCCCTCTGACCTCCTTTCTTACTCCCTGCCATCTCTTTTTCTGCATCATTCATACAATCATTCAGGATGTTTATCAAATCAGCCATGTGTGGTTTATCTCAAGGCCTTTGTACTGGTCATTTCCTCCACCTAGAACTCTCCCTCCACTCCTTTAGGTCTTTGCTCAAATGGGACCTTCTGTATGAGGTCTACAATAATCTCTCTATTTTAAAATTGCAACCGACTCCTCCATGTATGCTCAATCACACAACTGCCTATTCATTTTTATTCAATAGTACTATTAGCTCCTATGCACTTTGCCTGATTAACTTATTGAATT